GCAACGGTAAGAGCCTCACAGTGACACTGGATGAGCTTGCTCCACAGTTGCGTGACATAAGCTAGGAGATACGTTCAAGGTGCTCCAGAAGCTTCCGACTTATGCACCATGAACTTTCTTTCAACAGAAAGTAGAGCTCTAGGTCTGTGCGGGTTAGTCTTAAGCGGTTTTTTTTAAAGCACATTTCCAATTCTCTGGGAAAGTACCAGATTCATGAGAAATCTATAAGAGGTGCAAAAGAAATGTAGCAAGCGTCTTCAACATAATACTAGGAATCAGGCCCGGATCCAGAAGCTTTGTTGATGTCGAGCGACAGAAGCATCGCTCTAAATATGAGGCTTATTGTGTACCCCAGAAGCATGATCAAAAAAACATGGTACATTTCATGGGGTAAGATATAAAGTATGATGACCAAAAAATTTTGAGCAAATGTGGGGAGGTAAATGAGCATCCTGAATAGTTTCTCGCAATAGGTCTCGTAACAGTTATTGCAAAACAGGACTTGCCGTAATATAAAATGTAGCTATTCCAAGGCAATCGCTCTTGATTCACGACGTGACATAAAGTCCCAATTAAACTCCAGAACATCGATCCTGTCATCGTATCCTTCTATTAGGAAGATCCATCTCCACGACCAGGAGAGTTACGAGGAATAATTTCCCCTTTTAAGGTCGAACAGCGACATGCCGTTTACGAAACAAGTTGCGAAGATCACACATAGTTGTATACAGAACACAATCACGTTGCTCCATTTTGCCTTGTATGCGGAGTTAGGAGATCACGAATTGCTGTGCAGCACCTTTACGGGCTCATCTCCCGCGCACTCACCTTGCGGCAAATGAGTAACAGTATCGGAGCGACGTAAATATCTGATTATAGACCAGTACACCAATCGTTTCTGACCGAGGATTATAAGCGGAATTTTCGGCCTGGAAATAGCTCAAATCTCAAGTCGATCGCATCTAAGGGAAGAAGAAAGGACGCACAGTTGTTATATTGACATAAGACAACTCTGTCTCTATAGCCTTGTAATAGTTTTCTTATGATCAGTTCAGTAATTTTAGGAAGCTCATTAAAAACCAGATCAGTGTTGCCTACTCCGCTTACGTCCAATCGGTTGAGGATGCCATTGTCAATGATCCTAGAAAATTCTGGTCATTTGCCCAGATCAAAAAACAGCAATCTAGAATCCCCCAGGATATAGTGGACAGTTTTGCTACCTTCTTTTCAACAGTTTTTATCCCGTCTGGTCTACTAGGGCCATCTCCTCCAACAAATAATTCTACCGATATCATTTCTTTAAAAAATATAAGTGAAGAAAACGCAATTAGAGCTTCGAAAAGATTAAAGAACAAAATGACGTCTGGATGTGATGGTATTCCAAGTTTTTTCGTTAAAGATTGCATTCATATACTAGCGAAACCGCTGGATTCCATATTCAACCTAATTCTAAAATCAGAGACATATCCAAATATCTGGAAGACCTCTAAAATATGTCCTATTCACAAAAGTGGAGATATCTCTGATATTTCAAACTATCGCCAAATGGCAATCCTGTGCAATTTCAGCAAGTTGTTTGAGAGCATCGCTTATGAAACGGTTTACTGCTCGGTCAGGGGTGCAGTCTCTATTAATCAGCATGGGTTTATGAGAGGCAGATCTACGGTCACCAACCTGGCTCTAATTACGCAGTACATTTCTGAAGTACTGGACGGTCAGGGACAAGTTGATGTCATCTAAACAGATATTCAGAAGGCGTTTGATCAAGTTGATCATTATGCACTTCTGGATAAGCTTAAAACAGTGGGTATGGGTATGTCTGATGCAATGTTGTCGCTCATGAATTCATATTTGAGGGATAGAAGGTTATTTCTCGAATATGGTGGTCATAGGTCGAGTTACTATCGGGCCACGTCTGGGGTACCTCAAGGGTCAAATCTAGGTCCAGTATTGTTTTTAATATTTATTAATGACTTGTCTTTTGAACTGAAGTGTTTCCATTTGTTTTTCGCTGATGACCTTAAAATCTGCACGTCAGTCAAGATAGTCGAGGATTGCGTCATGTTGCAAGATGACTTAGCTCTAATTTCGCCATGGTGTTCACGAAACTGTCTCAGTCTGAATGTTTCGAAATGTAAAGTTATGACTTATACAAGAAAAGTGAACTATTTAATTTATGATAATTATAACATCAATGGTCAGGTTATAGACAGATGCACCTCTTATAGAGACCTTGGAGTCATTTTTGATACCAAGCTAACGTTTACTGAGCATATACTCGTCGAACATATCTCGTCGGCTGCCACTCGACTACTTGGTTTCTGTATCAGAAACCGGAAAGGTTTCTCCAATGTTGATACATTAATGACCTTATTTTTTACTTTTGTCAGGAGCAAGTTGGAGTATGCGACTCTGATCTGGTCTCCTATATACCAAAATTCTGTCACTGTGCACAGGTTCTTATCCAGAAAGAGGTTGTGACCATAGTGCCCTATTAGAGTTTTTCAATTTGGATTCACTGTCAACAAGACAAAACATACTTGCTTTGTCGTTTTTGTATGGCCTCATTCACAATAAAATTGACTGTCAAAATTTACTTGCAAAAATATGTTTCCGCGTTCCAAGGCTAGGGAGTCGACAACAAACGGCATTCTATTGTCAAGCTGGCCGTACAAATGTTATGACAAAATCGCCAATTAATCTGTGCTGCATCATGAACAGTGTTACTGAATCGTGTGATATTTACAGTGACAGTTGTGCATCGATTATTAACTGCTAGAGATCATCCAATCTTATTTAGAATGTGTGATACTATAGATTTAAGTCCAAGAACCATGTCTCTTTAATTGTTATTTTTTTCAGCGTTTCCTGTAATTGGGTTTCTCCTGTTGAAAATAAATAAATAAATAAATAAATAGTTCAATATAAAAATAGAAAATCATTAAGCTGTGTTATTTATACTGAGTATCAACACAAGAAATAAATTTATTTCTAAGGTGGTATTCTTTGTTAGCTCCTAGATCGTTCAACATCATTCCTCCTGAAATCAAATTTATAAAAACATTTAATGAATTTAAAAAAGCTGGGGAAGCGGTTTCTATCTGTATCACGAATAAAAATACATCAATAAGTTGTTAAAAAAAATACTTATTCTGTTATTTAATGTCTGATTTTTTAATCTTGATTGTGCATTTAAATTGTGATTGCACTACCTAGATGTGACTTCTTACCTGATTGTGACTCGTTTAACAAACTATACGTGTTATTTATTTGATGTGGATAACTTAAATTATGGACGTTACACATTTTTTACCTTTCCGGGAGCCATCCGAACAAACTCCACTAAAAGAACAGACTACTGGGTAGGACTTATTTTCTTCTTTTGAAAATATTATACTAAGTGACATATAAATCCGAACACCCAGTTTAAATGGTTTTATTTTAATAAAATTTTGTATAAGTCCTTAATGAAGCATAATAAGTAAATGATAAACATTTCAAAATGATTGCACTGCTTTAAAGCCCTTTGATCTTTAATAATGTGTGGATGCACCCTGATGTGCTACGCATTCTCCAACGTGCGTAGGCATGCTTCTGATCAGGTGGTCAATGTCCTCCTGTGGTATCTTATTCCAGGCAACCACCAACTCCTCTCAAAGTGCTTCTAGAGTCTGAGGAGGACGTTGCAAATTGAGCAATCTCCTACCCACCATATCCCACACTTGCTCAATTGGGGATAAGTCGGGAGATCTTGGTGGCCATGGTAACAATGTGACATCATTATGTTGAAAGACGTCTATTGTGACTCTTGCAACATGTGGTCGGGCATTATCTTGTTGGAAAGTTGGATCTGCCAGGGTGTCAAGATAGGGTAAAAGATGGGGTTCTAGAACTTCGTGGATAAAACGCTGTGCGTTTATGTTACCTCTGATGAAGATTAAAGGTGACCTGGAACCATAAGCTATAGCACCCCATACCGTAACTCCAACAGTGTGATGAACATGTCTTTCAACAAAAAACTGTGGATTCCTCCTTTCACCACGTCGCCTTCTAACCCTGGCACGACCATCGTGCATGCCTAAACAAAATCGAGACTCGTCACTAAAGACAATACTGTTCCATTCCTGATCCCAGAGTGACCGTTGTCTGCACCACTCAAGGCGATTACGTCGGTGTTCTCGAGTTAAAGGGAGGACCCAGTGTGGCCGGTATGAAAACAAGCCAAAACTTGTCATTCGTCGGTAAACACTTCGCATGCCAATAGGTCTTCCGTGTTCTGCAAACCATTCATTTGCAATGGACCTGGTAGTGGAGAAACGGTCCCTTAAGGCCAATAATCTTAGGCGGCGATCTTCACGGTCTGTGTCAGTGCCCCTTGCTCTTTGCGTACGGCCTTCTCGAAGCCATGCCTGACAACACCTAACCACAGTGTCTACACTTCTTTGCACTCTAACTGCAATTGCCCGAAAAGAAAGTCCAGCTTCCCGAAGTCCCACTATACGGCCCCTATCAAACTCACTAAGTTGACGAAATCGTACAGGTCTCCGTACTCTAGGCATCGTAACCGATCGTAAAGGATGTCAAGAACCAAAATCCGCCAACGTTGATTCTTTACTGCGACTGAAATATTCATTTTTAGAGCGTTAGTGAATTAAAAAAAAGAACTATAAAAACCGGAATGTCCAACTGATAAGGCTGAAAATTTGTTCACTTGTTATTTACACTAAGATAAATGCATTCACCAAATTTTATTAAAATAAAACCATTTAAGCTGGGTGTTCGGATTTATATGTCACTTAGTATATAAAACAAAATCACTTTGTGGCTAAATTTCACATTATTTTTGCTGAAGTGACAGGTGAATTATTTAGATATATTCTGAGCTATGGTGGGTCGTGAGGTTATGTCGTAAAAATGAAAGTTTTCCGCAATTTCTCTGTTACAACTGCATTATCCATCAGCAAGCATTATGTGGACATTTTCTGAAACTAAACAACGTTATGAAATTGGTAGTAAGAATTGTGGACAAGAATAGAGCTCAAGAAGATTATTCAAAACCTTGGCCGATGAAATTGACTGTCAACAAGAGGAACTACTTCTCCACTCCGAGTGCTGAAACATTTAGTAATATCATATCTGCCATAGTTCAATTTTTGAAACAATCTAATGAACCGATTCCGGAATTGGAAAATTCAGTCTGGCTTAGAGATTCTGGTTTTCTTGTGGACATTACAGAAAACTTAAATGAACTTAATCTGCAGCTTCAGGAGCGAGACAAAGAACTAGCAGAAATGATTTCTGACATAAAAGCGTTTATCAAGGAGCTTGAAACTTGGGAACAAAACTTAATCGATGGCGATATCAGGCATTTTCCTGTTCTTTCAAGAAAGATATCTCAAAGTCCATTAGAACCATATGACAGTAAATATCATGTAGATATAGTCTCTTGCTTGAAGGATAACTTCAAACATCGTTCCAAGGATTTCAAAGAAATTGCTATAATATCGCAATTCGTTGTTTCACTCTTCATGGAAATTGACATCCAACAGTTTGCAACTTCTGTTACGCAGAATCTTAGCGAAGACATCGCTGCGACAAAAATGGAAGTGATTGCGTTTAGCTTTTAAATCATTAGTCTCAAATACAAAATGTATCTGCCCATCAGTAAGTAAAGATATTCAGTTTTATTTAGTTTTGCCTTGAAAGTGAAAGCGTCAGTGACCTTTTTGTGTGAATCTTCTTTTTCAAATATGAAGTTTATTAAAAATAAATACCGTAATTGACTTACAGAAGAACATTAAAACAATTGTCGTCGAGTCTGAGTGTCAGGCTTCCCATTGAACACGCAATTTTTTGTCTGGAGACGCTTTTGTTTAAAATAGTGCGTTGCTTTTTTTATTGTTGTTACCTTTATTAAATTGTATGTGACATGCCATTGTAGCTGACGAAAAATTTTGTTTATTTTTCAAACATCTACGATTGGTAGGAATGGATGTAGTTATCTAGTAATAGTATTAGTAAAATAAACACATACAACTGTGTATAATTTCATTTAAGTGGGCTTACATTAGAATAGAATAGAATAGAAATTTATTGGTTTCTCGGTTATAAACAAAAAATAAAGAAATTTATAACAGAGATAACACGTCATTGTGATACAGTGTAAATAACATACAATTTTTTTTAAAGTACATACAAAAACAAACATACATAGACAACATATATGTTTCACTAGAGCACAGAACTCTTCAATACTATATGGTTCCATTTCGCATAACTATTTATGAATGCTTTTTTTGAATATAGTGAATGCTGAAATGGATTGAATATGTTGAGGTAAAGCATTGTAAAGTTTCAGTATAGAGTAATGTGGACGTTTTTCCGTAGAATTTAGCTTATGTGATGGGTACATGTATTTCTGATTTTTGCGAGTATTGTAACTGTGGTTGAAGACGTTTTCTTCAAACTTTCCTTTATGGTTAAAGATAAATAGTAGAGTGGTATAGATATAAATTCCCGGTAATGTTAATAAGCGGTTGACTTTAAATATACTTCTACATGACTCTCTAGGTTTCATTTTGAACATTGTTCTTATTATCCTCTCATACTTATACTCTCTGTGTGCTTATCAAACTTAAGACAGCTATCGTATGTGACACCCAGGAGGGTTGTATCGCTTTGATACATAGAGGTTCATTAATTAAGGGCAGTTCTTTGGTGGCATGACTTGACTGAAATAGGACACAACACGTTTTTCGTATGTTGAATGCTAACTTATTCACCTGCAGCCAGTTTTGAATATGGTTTATTTGGGTCTCTATCAAGATTCGAATATCAGACGTTCCTTTATATGGTATCAGAATAGTTACATCATCTGCATAGACGAAACTTAGATTTTGCGTGTTTTCCGTGGTGGTGGATATATTATTAATATAAATAATAAACAATGTTGGGCCCAGTGTACTGCCTTGACGAACGCCAGTACTATATGTCCGAGGACTAGATGTTATTCGTTTCCCAGTTTTGTTCAAAATTACTTTCTGTCTTCTATTACAGAGATAAGATTTAAGCCAGTAGTACGCATTCCCGCGTATACCATATTTATATAATTTGTTTAGCAGTATTTCGTGATCAATGCAATCAAATGCTTTTGATAGGTCCGCAAATAACCACATGCTTACGACTAATTAGCTCACTGTATACGTATATTCGAAAGTTATCGAGGTAGGCGACCACTGGTCTAGAGCAAAGGTATTTTGAACTTAATCAACAAATTATTTTTCTAGTACTTAGTTGTCCTTCAGAAGCCATAGATCCCAGTTTTGGAATTTTTGTCAATACACTGATCAACAGCCAAAAAATATCCTAAATAAAATGAACAAAATATTACTATTTTTAATGTGCTAAAACCGGAATGAAACTTATTTTTTCAATATTAGTTCAAGTTTTAGAGATACGGTAATTATATGTGTTCCTGCTGTGACAGTGTTAATATATACTGTAATTCACAAGAATGCACGTGCTACATTTTTATATTCGGCAAGGAAAGATGATGTAATCGGCATGATTGTGTTACGTTATACATACGTGTACATTATATTGTTTTATATTAGCCATTTTTTCCTCAGTTGGCTGACAGCGTTCATGCAAGATGTCTCGAAAGTGTGTAAACAATCCAGATCAGTTTTGTTACGTGTGTGGTGATGTGACTTTTGCGTCTCAGAGACGGTCTATTACTCCACTAATAACAAAGGCATATCAGCTTTATTTCGGTTGTAAACTAGGTGATCAAGACAAACAGTGGGCACCCCACATCTGCTGTAATACATGTGCTTCAAGTCAGGGAGCTGGTTAAATGGCAAAAAACGGTCTATGCGCTTTGCTGTCCCAATGGTTTGGAGAGAGCCTACAAATCATATTAATGATTGTTACTTTTGCATGGTACCTTGTGTTGGACAAGCCACAGGTATGTCCAAGAAAAAAAATCGCTTATTAACTACCCAAACATACCATCTGCGATGAGACCTGTGCCTCACAGTGACGAAAATCCTATTCCAAAACCCCCAGAATTCTACACTTGCGAATCAGAAAACGAATCAGATCATGGCGATCGAGTGATTCGTCAGGAAGAAGATATGCCATTAACGTCAAGAGATCCTGATTTTATACCGAGCACGTCATGCCACCAACCGCACAAAATAACACAGTCAGAATTAAATGATCTTGTAAGAGATTTAGAACTTCCAAAATGTAAGGCAGAGTTACTTGGATCAAGACTGCAGCAGTGGAACTTGTTAGAAGACGATGTTTCGGTATGTGTTTTTCGTAAACGCCACAAAGACTTAGAACCATTTTTCAATATGGAGAATAACTTGGTTTTCTGCAGTAACATTAACGGCTTACTGGCGGCTTTAAATATAAACTATAACCCAGAAGAATGGAGATTGTTTATACATTGAGTTTAAAGGCAGTGTTATTGCATATTGGAAATGTTTTACCATCTCTTCCTGTAGGGTATGCAGTTCACATGAAAGAATCATATGACAATATGAAGTACCTATTGACATGCATAAAATACTATGAGCACCAATGGCATATTTGTGGCGATTTGAGAGTTGTTGCACTTTTACTTGGGCTGCAGCTAGGCTACACAAAGTTTTGCTGTTTTTTGTGTGAATGGGACAGTCGGGCAAAGGCACTTCATTACACCAGACAAAACTGGCCTGTTCGTCAATTCCTAGAGCCAGGTCAAAAAAATGTACAGCATATGCCATTAGTAGATTCGAAAAAAGATTTATTACCACCACTGCATATCAAGTTGGGCCTAATGAAAAACTTTGTCAAGGCATTAGATAGAGATGGGTCAGCTTTTCGATACCTGCGTCAGAAATTTCCAAGACTAAGTGAGGCAAAGGTTAAAGAAGGTATTTTTGTTGGGCCACAGATTCGAAATATTTTGAAAGATACACAGTTTGAAAACACTTTAGCAGGTATTGAAAAAACTGCTTGGAATGATTTCCGTCTGGTGGTCACTAATTTCTTGGGAAATAGAAAAGCTGACAACTATAAAACCCTTGTCAAAAATATGCTGTCATCGTATCAAAAGATGGGCTGTAATATGTCTCTTAAGATACATTTCCTACACTCACACCTGGACTTTTTTCCTGACAATTGCGGAGCTGTAAGTGATGAGCACGGCGAACGTTTTCATCAGGATATTTCAACAATGGAAAAAAGGTACCAGGGAAAGTGGAATCCTTCCATGCTTGCAGACTACTGTTGGACTCTTGGTAGAGATGCTCCAGAAACGATCCATAAAAGAACAGCAAAAAGACAGCGCATATAGTGATTCTTATAAGTATATGAATCTTGTTACTTTTTTTAATATATCCTTAAAAATAAAAAGTTTTTTTTCTAAACCTCAACTAATTTTTTTATTTCATTGTCATTTTTGGATTCAGCGCCCTCTTAAATTAACAAAGAAGTGCACTTTTCCCACAAGATACAATTAAAAAACTAAAATTTGTTGTCCAGTGATTCGCCTAATTTCGGATATTTAAATTATTATTCTTATGTGACCGCATGGTCACAACACTCCCTTTTTTAAAACTTAAGCACTTTAACACAAAAAGGTAAAAATAAAAGCATACCCTCACCTGAAAGGTCTTATTATAATAGCAGCGATGTCCAACTTTGCTAGGGGGCGCTTGTACGGTTGGGGTCTAAGCTGTCAAACGTACATGGAGAAAACACAGGTTGGATAAGCAGGTGATGAGAAAAAGAGAGATTTGATGGAAAGGTAACCTACTTTCTACTGACATGACGTGACGCCTAGAGATAGGGGCGAAACTCGTGGAGTGGGGGTGAAGCCAAAAATGTCTACGGTCAATTGAGTCTGTACACTGCACAGAAAATGAATTTCAGGTTCTGCGCATGTGGCATATTATCTCTCTGTTGCTGTCATCATGACTGTAGACAATTAATGTTGATAGTTCGAACGAGTTGCAAGAAGAAATATTGGATAATGGTAATAAACCACAAAGTAATAAACCTACAAATGATGGCAAAGCGTGAGTGGAATGTACATAAAGATTGCGGCAGGTTATGCTGGAATTCTTTCAATGCGCAGGCGCTCTGCGCCATCTTGTACGCACACTAGATTTTCGAGAGCTACAACGACCTTGGCGACAGGATTATACAGTATAACTGTTCGTCATTTATTTGTCTGGGCGGTCCGTAGGACCTTTGCCCATGAGTCACTGTCTGATGTACGTTAGTCGAATCTGTCAGTCCTGGTTGCCCAGAAACCAGACAAAGTCAAGGAAAAAGAGAAAGGGAAGGAGAAGAAAAAAGGAGAAGAACAAGGAAAAACAGATATGCTTAGTTTAAGAGGAAACACCTAGGCTTTTTGACTTGGTACACGGATTAATTTTGAGGTGAACTAAACAATTTTTTTTTGTTTTGTTTTTTGATTCGGTTTTGTTAGAGTGTAATTTTGGGTTTACTAAAGATTCACGATAACTTTTGATTACAGTGCGAGCCGTGGCCTTGAATGTTTATGAACTTGCTCCACTGTGTAGTCCACTGAGTCACGCAACAGAGGGTTGCTGTGCGATTCCGCTTGACT